CCTTTTTTTTTCTTTTTAGGGTGTGTTTTGTTCAGCTCTGTCCTTAAGTGGTGTCTCGGCTGTAGCTTGCAAGAGCCTAAGCTCAAACACACGTGCTACGGTGCTGTTCCCTCAAGAAAACCTTACTGCTTTTTAATACTGTTTTGGGTGTAATTTGGATAATTCAAATAGAACAGACAAAAAGGGGGGGGAGGGGGATAATCACAGCTTTAAATACATTTATTGGTCATGCAGCAGCAGCACTAGGACAAGCTCCACGCAGCATCACCGTAGCAAAATCCACCACAGGCCTCCCCATTAGAGCGCTGCTTTGTAATGAACTGTGACCCGCACGTCCAGCCTCATCATACTTGTGTCTCACAAATACGGCTGGTCTTTCGAAATTTCCCACTTCTTTAGTGCTGGTCCTGGTGTCACTGGTTTTTTCTCAGCTGTTGTCACTGCAGAGCCTGAACTGGGGTAGAGGAAGGAAGAGAGAAGAGTGTTTCATAACGCTATGAAAACCAGACTCATAGCAGTCTGAGGTTTTAGTACAGAATCGTAGAATCATTTAGGTTGGAAAAGGCCTAAAGGTCTTTTGACCTTAACAGTCGAGTCCAACCGTTAACCTAACACTACCAAGTCCACCACTAAACCGTAGCCCTAAGCGCCGTGTCTACACTTCTTCTAAATACCCCCAGGGATGGTGACTCAACCCCTTCCCTGGGCAGCCTCTTCCAATGTTTAACCACTCTTTCAGTAAAGACATTTTTCACATCCAATCTAAACCTCCCCTGGCGCAACTTGAGGCCGTTTCCTCTCGTCCTGTCGCTTGTTACTTGGGAGAAGAGACCGACCCCACCTTGCTACAACCTCCTTTCAGGGAGTTGTAGAGAGCGATGAGGTCTCCCCTCAGCCTCCTTTTCTCCAGGCTGAACAACCCCAGTTCCCTCAGCCGCTCCTCGTAAGGCTTCTGCTCTAGACCCTTCACCAGCTTTGTTGCTCTTCTTTGGGCACGCTCCAGCTAAAGGGGTTTGTTAAGCCGACTTCCAGCCATTTCACTTATCCAAGAGGAGACACAGACACAAAGAATTAGTTCAGCACTCTTCTACCAACCTGTGAAATCCAGTACTGCTTGCTGGAAGAGTTCCGTGCTTCTGGCATAAGCCAAACCAGGCTTAAACCCGCTCAGCCCAAACAGTGGCGGCAGCAGAGCTGCGGGACCGAGCAGGTCAGACCTACCTGCCAGCTTGAGCCCCCGCAGCGAGGGTTTTCTGTGCCGCCGCGACCACGATGGGCGGGAGGGACTCTCGGCGGCCCTCCCGC